GCGGAGAAAAGGGTAATCAGGTGGGCGCGTTCTGGGGGGTGAAGCGAGGCCTCGCGGGGCCCTCTGGGAGGGAAGCAGGCAACATGTGGGGCCGCAGAGGGAGGAAGGTGAAATTCGGAATAAGTGTTTTGAAAAGAAAGTTGAAAGCATCTCTTTAGCAACCTCCACCACATATTGTTTGGTCCCCGTCCCTAGGTCTCTGGAACGTTCTCTGGGTGGAAAGTGAGTTACTGTGAACGAAGGAGAAGCCAGTAGGGTTTGGAAGCCTTGAAAGGCACCGCTTTGACCTTTTGTAAAAGTTACTCAAGCAGCGGCTCCGGGGTGAAGGATTGGTTTTTTGAACCGATAAAAGCCCTTTACAAGGAAAATTCCAAGAATGATAGAAACCTAGTCCGGCGAAGCTTTTTATTTTTGGTATTGTTGCTTAACAGTAGAAATTTATTACTTTAACTAGAACGTCTGTTGTTGGCCTGTTTTAATTTTGAAGGCAGTGGATACCTGTCTTACACAAATACGAGGTTTGATTTCTCTTTTTTCTGTCTTTCTCTTGTGTGCAGTGAGTGAGCATCAGCTGACTGGCTGGCTAATGCTTTGAGTAGATTCCAGATCATATTGTTCTTGCATTGTGAAAACGTCAAACCAGCAAAGCTGCAACTTCGCAACTTGGCACTTGTTAACTATGCCCATAAAAAGAATCTTTTCAATGAGGGAAGGAATTTACAGGTTGTATAATGGATCAGAGCTGGGGCCAGTCAATGGCTTTTTTTTTTTTTTTCAAAGGAAGAGAGAGATCTTACTCCGTAATATTTTGGCGTAAACACATGCTCTCACTTTTTAAATCTAATCAGTGTAACCTTTAATTTGGGTTTTAAATTGACACAGCTATCTCAGAATATGTTCAACATTGATAATAAACATTCATCGGAACATTCCAAGTAAACCGTGAAAAGATTTAAAGTTACTGAATCCATTCTGTTTACCGATTTTTACCTTATTGTTTTTTTTCTTTGGGCAGAATAAGAAATCAGATATGATTTTAAACAGTGTCATTTTGCGTTAGTAATGTTATGCTGTGCAAGTGCTGTAGGTTTTTAGTGCATATGTGTTTTTGCTGAGCAAAAGGAAGACTGAAGTTTTATTTATATCGACATGAATTCCAAAATAAACTTTTGAGTTCTAAATTGATGCCTTTGGCTTTGTTAAAATGTGAACTTTAATGATAGCTCCATTTATTGAGTGTTTAAGGTATACTATCTCTTGTTTCTAAAACAACAATGCAATGTTTTACAGATTTGAGAAAACCGATGTGGTGAGCTTAAGTAACTTAGTAAAGTAGTAGAGTTGAGATTTAGATACAGGTCATTCTAATGCCAAATCATTGCTCTCACTAAACTGTTACATAAACTCAATGTTTCCATTAATCATTTTCTTTGTGAACCAGTAAGTGGTTTTAAATTTTTCTCAAAATGAGTTTTATCAAAAATTAATGCCACTAAGTACTTGCGGCTGTGTATATGATATTAAAATCAGTAAAAACACACTGGTCATAGACATTTTATTAACTAATATAATCCGTATAATCTCATGCTACAGGAATTATGCTAAAGGAGTGAACCCAAGTTCAGAAGTTTGATGTCTAAGGTCATTCAAGTGTGAATAATTTAGAGACTAAAGTCTGAAGTCTGGCTTCAAGAACATAAGGCTCTGGCTCTAAAACTTATTTCTGCACTTTCCCCTAAGCCAAGGGTTCTTAATTTTGGTCGCTAGATAGAATTGAGGAAGTTGGTGAACTTGATTGAGGGAAAAAAATGTTTATTTTCACTAGGTTCTAATTGAAATTTAGAATTGAAAAAAAGTGAAAATTCTTGAAATTAATTTTGTTTTGAAATTTCAGTGGTGCAACAAGAGAAATATTTTCATACCATGTTACAGTTTTTGCAGATACCTTGAAATATTATTTATTCTTATTACTCTGTTATATGTAAGAATCTTATTAATGTGCAAGCACATATATTACTAAATTAGAAATTTAAAAATATTTTGATGACTGTAGTTGGTTTATTTTGTGATCCTGTGTATTTCATATACTTCAAAACATCATTCTGAGACGAGATCCACAGGTTAATTGGACTACTAAAGAGGTCTCCATGGCACAAGAGAGGTTAAGAACCACTTTGCTATAAACCAAGTTGCTTGTGGATGGTCTTCGGTAGGACTTCTCTAATCTGAGATCTATGAGTCCTCTGCATTTATGTTCAAAATCTTTGAACAAAAAATTTACTTGAGTAAATTTTTGTGGAGAGACCCCACCTTAACTAGATTATAACTAGAATCAGTGGGATAGATAAAAGTAATGATAATAATACGATAATAGTGGCATACACATGTATTGTGCTTATGGTGTGTCAGGTGTGTGAAGTTTTTTGCATTTATTCATGTATCTACAGCTACTCAAGCATACTTATGAGATGTAGGTGGCATTATCATCTCCAGTTTAGAGATAAACTAAGGCACAGAGAGTTTAAGAAACTTGCCCAAGATTAAAAGCTAGTGAATGTTTAAGTCAGAATTAGAGCTCTATATTACTTAACTATACTGCAGTTGAAATCTACAGGCAGACAAGAAATCTTATTTTAAATAATACTTAGATGTCACTTTTTTTAACTTGGTCTTGCAGACAAAGGGCTATATTGACTGAAGTTGTTTATTTTTTTTTTTCTTACCTCAGTTCTGAAGGAGACACAATGCCTGCCCCTCTGGGAGGAGGTAAAAATGTTTGGATAATTCACACAATTGTCAAACATGAGCCTACATAAATTCCGTTTAAACAAATTCTGTAAGTTTGAAAGAGCTCCCTTTTGGCTGCTAGCAAGTTTAAATTTTTGAGCACCAAGGAGACAGTATGCAATTTTTTAATGTTTTTCATGGCTGCTAACATTTAATTAATTTTTCAGATCATTTCCCCCCTTCAAATATTTTCAGCCAGTTATGTCTACTCTAGTTGTTTGGCAGTGGTTTTTTTTTTTAATTTGGTTTCTGTCTCTGAGTTTTTCCCTGAAAATGAATACTTACAGCCACTTAGGTAGCAATGACTTTTATGCACTGTAACATGCTTTAATAACTCACATAACTTTTAAAAATTGTTTTTAATTATGATAAAATACACATAACATGAAATTTATCATCTTAATCATTTTAAAGCATACAGGTCAGTTGTATTAAGTACATTTACAAGGTTGTACAGCCATCACCACCATCCATCTCCAAAACTCTTCATCTTGCAAAACTGAAACTGTACCCATTAAATAACTCTCCATTCCTCCCTTCCCCCAGATCTTACATAATTAGGAAAAAAAGTTATATTACTTCCAAAGTTTTCTGCTTTTTTAGGTGATAACATTTTCCATTTTAGGTTCACCTTAGAGTCTGAAAATAGTGGGATATTTGCCAAGGTAATTTTTCATTAATTTTGTACTACAGTAGTCATAGGTAGTGTGCCTTTCGCTCCAAGAACAGCACTAAATTTTTTTCCCATTAACTTAATCACTTATAAAAAGTTATTAGATATCACTGACTGAAAACATTTTAAAAAGAGGCTTAGAAAAGAAGAAAGTGCCTAAATGAATTGAGAATGATTGCCAAATAGATTTGTAAATAAGTGAGTAGCTGCGTAGTTTTTGAACAATTTGATTTTGGAATATTTATTGGAACTTGATTCCAATAAATTTAAAAATGAATGAAAGCATTTTCAAATAAAGTATTTTGAGGGAGAATGGGCTGAAAATGAAGTAGAAATTATTTTTGAAGTGTGAAAAGTAGAATAAAATGCTCAGAAGTGAACATAAAGATGTAAAAGTATATCTCGGTGCTGCAAAGTACAGTATTTGAAAACCCAGTAACTAGAAATATTGGTATTCAACTATTTCGTATCAGTTTAGATTTGTTCAGGCTATCCACCAGCTTTATATTACTTCCCAGTTAATGGAAGTGATCCATAATGCTAGACGTGAACATTTCAAATCTGTGATTTTGGTCCTTTACCTAGGAGCTTAAAAAAAGATTTTGACCCTGTGGTTAGAAATGGGATCTGAGTCTGTATTGCAGAGGAGTGGAAAGTAGAGTAAGTTGAGAAACACTAATCCAGATGTCCATGTGAAGTCATAAAAAAGATTCTAACCTCCTCTTATAATATCCTTAAGTGAAAACGAAAAATGACTCTAGCTCTGATAGTGTTGACAGCATTTTAATTTGTCATTTCTATATTCTGTGTTTTGCTTAAGCTTTATTTTGTTTAAAGTTTAATTCTCGAGAAAGGTTTCCAGTCTTCTTGAAAACGTTGGAGACTTCTGTATTAATGCACTACGATTTTCTGTAAGGGTTTTGGAATCCTGGGTTCAAATGTTAGCTGTATGACCTGGGACAAGTGACAACTTTTTTGAGCTTCAAGTTCCTATCTGTAATTTGAGATTAATAATTTATTCTGACAGGTTGTGTTCATGGGGTTTGTGGTATTTATGTATTAAGCCTTGTAATACAGTGTAGGTAGGTAAGGGTTGACAGACACTATCATTTGATAATCAGAACTGTATTGTGATATAAATTGTTAGTAAATAAGTAGTTGCCTTCCAAAATGACCGAAATTTGGACTTTACATATTAAATGTTTCTGGAAATTTTATCAAAACTACATGGTAGTGGCACTGG